TTTTTCGTCAGTCTGAATTTGGCACCCAGCATAGATGCTTTCGCACTCTTATTGACCTTTCCTGAACCTAGTGGATCGATTCCAAATAGCTTTGAATACAGCCACAAAGATCTGTCTGATCCTCATAAGTATCTTTTAGAAATCTTTTTCAAAATTTTTCTAGCGATTATATATTCCAGAATAAACTCTCTCCTCATATTGCTAGTCAGCTTGGTCCATCAAATCCTAACTGGGACCAAGAGAGGGTAAACCCTATCCCTATGTTCCGAGTGATGATACTTTTTCTGAGTCATCAAAATTGTCATTACCTCTGTGACGGGTTGGGTAGCTTCCTTATCGTGTTATGTTTTACTTTGTTAACACATTCACAACAATGCGACCCACCGGTGGGTCGTACGGGTTCTGCCATTTCGGACAATACGACCCACGGTGGGTCGTAAATTTGACAAAGCGAAAAGGCTCTGGTCCGAAACGGCAGTTCGAAAAATCGGTCTTGTCGTGAATGTGTTAATGGTATACCTAAAAGTGTTTACCATGCAAAATTTTGATAATTATTTCCGTACCTCATCATCTCTAGACAAGGATTAATTTTACCTTCTCCATTCCTTACCCTTGTCTTCCTTTGTTGATGTTTGGATGTGAACTTGCATTGAATTTAATATTTTTAGGCTATGCTTCTAAGGCGCCGATTCTCTGCCCAGCGACAAGCGAATGTATCAACATCATCAAGTGGTACCACTGGTACAGGTTGCCTGAATACTGCATGTTCTTCCACCGATAGCAGTATGGATGCATCACATGTGAGCACAGTAGTCGTTGGAATGGATTCCAGAAGGTAAATACTGACTCCTTTGTCCGTGACTCAGGAGAACAGCTGATTTTCTAGGTCACCTTTGCCTCGATTTGCCATCTCTTGTGATCCAGACGAGCATCATCATACGTCAACTGAATCGAGAGCCAGCAAAGAGCTTTCTCCAGTCGATGAGGCAGTTCGGTTTAGGGTTGGTCTACTGGTT